CGGCAGGCCATCGCCTCTGGGAGATCCCCTCGGCAGGCCATCGCCTCTGGGAGATCCCCTCGGCAGGCCATCGCCTCTGGAAGATCCCCTCGGCAGGCCATCGCCTCTGGGAGATCCCCTCGGCAGGCCGTCGCCTCTGGTAGATCCCCTCGGCAGGCCATCGCCTCTGGAAGATCCCCTCGGCAGGCCATCGCCTGTGGGAGATCCCCTCGGCAGGCCATCGCCTCTGGGAGATCCCCTCGGCAGGCCATCGCCTCTGGGAGATCCCCTCGGCAGGCCCTCGCCTCTGGGAGATCCCCTCGGCAGGCCATCGCCTCTGGGAGATCCCCTCGGCAGGCCATCGCCTCTGGGAGATCCCCTCGGCAGGCCATCGCCTCTGGGAGATCCCCTCGGCAGGCCATCGCCTCTGGGGGATCCCCTCGGCAGGCCATCGCCTCTGGGAGATCCCCTCGACAGGCCATCGCCTCTGGGAGATCCCCTCGGCAGGCCATCGCCTCTGGGAGATCCCCTCGGCAGGCCATCGCCTCTGGGAGATCCCCTCGGCAGGCCATCGCCTCTGGGAGATCCCCTCGGCAGGCCCTCGCCTCTGGGAGATCCCCTCGGCAGGCCATCGCCTCTGGGAGATCCCCTCGGCAGGCCATCGCCTCTGGGAGATCCCCTCGGCAGGCCATCGCCTCTGGGAGATCCCCTCGGCAGGCCATCGCCTCTGGGAGATCCCCTCGGCAGGCCATCGCCTCTGGGAGATCCCCTCGGCAGGCCATCGCCTCTGGGAGATCCCCTCGGCAGGCCATCGCCTCTGGGAGATCCCCTCGGCAGGCCATCGCCTCTGGGAGATCCCCTCGGCAGGCCCTCGCCTCTGGGAGATCCCCTCGGCAGGCCATCGCCTCTGGGAGATCCCCTCGGCAGGCCATCGCCTCTGGGAGATCCCCTCTGCAGGCCATCGCCTCTGGGAGATCCCCTCGGCAGGCCATCGCCTCTGGGAGATCCCCTCGGCCGGCCATCGCCTCTGGGAGATCCCCTCGGCAGGCCATCGCCTCTGGGAGATCCCCTCGGCAGGCCATCGCCTCTGGGAGATCCCCTCGGCAGGCCATCGCCTCTGGGAGATCCCCTCGGCAGGCCATCGCCTCTAGGAGATTCCCTCGGCAGGCCATCGCCTCTGGGAGATCCCCTCGGCAGGCCATCGCCTCTGGGAGATCCCCTCGGCAGGCCATCGCCTCTGGGAGATCCCCTCGGCAGGCCATCGCCTCTGGGAGATCCCCTCGGCAGGCCATCGCCTCTGGGGGATCCCCTCGGCAGGCCATCGCCTCTGGGAGATCCCCTCGACAGGCCATCGCCTCTGGGAGATCCCCTCGGCAGGCCATCGCCTCTGGGAGATCCCCTCGGCAGGCCATCGCCTCTGGGAGATCCCCTCGGCAGGCCATCGCCTCTGGGAGATCCCCTCGGCAGGCCATCGCCTCTGGGAGATCCCCTCGGCAGGCCATCGCGTCTGGGAGATCCCCTCGGCAGGCCATCGCCTTTTTTGAAATCCCCTCCGCAGGCCATCGCCTCTGGGAGATCCCCACGACAGGCCATCGCCTCTGGGAGATCCCCTCGGCAGGCTATCGCCTCTGGGAGATCCCCTCGGCAGGCCATCGCCTCTGAGAGATCCCCTCGGCAGGCCATCGCCTCTGGGAGATCCCCTCGGCAGGCCATCGCCTCTGGGAGATCCCCTCGGCAGGCCATCGCCTGTGGGAGATCCCCTCGGCAGGCCATCGCCTCTGGGAGATCCCCTCGGCAGGCCATCGCCTCTGGGAGATCCCCTCGGCAGGCCCTCGCCTCTGGGAGATCCCCTCGGCAGGCCATCGCCTCTGGGAGATCCCCTCGGCAGGCCATCGCCTCTGGGAGATCCCCTCGGCAGGCCATCGCCTCTGGGAGATCCCCTCGGCAGGCCATCGCCTCTGGGAGATCCCCTCGGCAGGCCATCGCCTCTGGGAGATCCCCTCGGCAGGCCATCGCCTCTGGGAGATCCCCTCGGCAGGCCATCGCCTCTGGGAGATCCTCTCGGCAGGCCATCGCCTGTGGGAGATCCCCTCGGCAGGCCATCGCCTCTGGGAGATCCCCTCGGCAGGCCATCGCCTCTGGGAGATCCCCTCGGCAGGCCATCGCCTCTGGGAGATCCCCTCGGCAGGCCATCGCCTCTGGGAGATCCCCTCGGCAGGCCATCGCCTCTGGGAGATCCCCTCGGCAGGCCATCGCCTCTGGGAGATCCCCTCGGCAGGCCATCGCCTCTGGGAGATCCCCTCGGCAGGCCATCGCCTCTGGGAGATCCCCTCGGCAGGCCATCGCCTCTGGGAGATCCCCTCGGCAGGCCATCGCCTCTGGGAAATCCCCTCGGCAGGCCATCGCCTCTGGGAGATCCCCTCGGCAGGCCATCGCCTCTGGGAGATCCCCTCGGCAGGCCATCGCCTCTGGGAGATCCCCTCGGCAGGCCATCGCCTCTGGAAGATCCCCTCGGCAGGCCATCGCCTCTGGGAGATCCCCTTTGGCAGGCCATCGCCTCTGGTAGATCCCCTCGGCAGGCCATCGCCTCTGGGAGATCCCCTCGGCAGGCCATCGCCTCTGGGAGATCCCCTCGGCAGGCCATCGCCTCTGGGAGATCCCCTCGGCAGGCCATCGCCTCTGGGAAATCCCCTCGGCAGGCCATCGCCTCTGGGAGATCCCCTCGGCAGGCCATCGCCTCTGGGAGATCCCCTCGGCAGGCCATCGCCTCTGGGAGATCCCCTCGGCAGGCCATCGCCTCTGGAAGATCCCCTCGGCAGGCCATCGCCTCTGGGAGATCCCCTCGGCAGGCCATCGCCTCTGGTAGATCCCCTCGGCAGGCCATCGCCTCTGGAAGATCCCCTCGGCAGGCCATCGCCTGTGGGAGATCCCCTCGGCAGGCCATCGCCTCTGGGAGATCCCCTCGGCAGGCCATCGCCTCTGGGAGATCCCCTCGGCAGGCCCTCGCCTCTGGGAGATCCCCTCGGCAGGCCATCGCCTCTGGGAGATCCCCTCGGCAGGCCATCGCCTCTGGGAGATCCCCTCGGCAGGCCATCGCCTCTGGGAGATCCCCTCGGCAGGCCATCGCCTCTGGGAGATCCCCTCGGCAGGCCATCGCCTCTGGGAGATCCCCTCGGCAGGCCATCGCCTCTGGGAGATCCCCTCGGCAGGCCATCGCCTCTGGGAGATCCTCTCGGCAGGCCATCGCCTGTGGGAGATCCCCTCGGCAGGCCATCGCCTCTGGGAGATCCCCTCGGCAGGCCATCGCCTCTGGGAGATCCCCTCGGCAGGCCATCGCCTCTGGGAGATCCCCTCGGCAGGCCATCGCCTCTGGGAGATCCCCTCGGCAGGCCATCGCCTCTGGGAGATCCCCTCGGCAGGCCATCGCCTCTGGGAGATCCCCTCGGCAGGCCATCGCCTCTGGGAGATCCCCTCGGCAGGCCATCGCCTCTGGGAGATCCCCTCGGCAGGCCATCGCCTCTGGGAGATCCCCTCGGCAGGCCATCGCCTCTGGGAAATCCCCTCGGCAGGCCATCGCCTCTGGGAGATCCCCTCGGCAGGCCATCGCCTCTGGGAGATCCCCTCGGCAGGCCATCGCCTCTGGGAGATCCCCTCGGCAGGCCATCGCCTCTGGAAGATCCCCTCGGCAGGCCATCGCCTCTGGGAGATCCCCTCGGCAGGCCATCGCCTCTGGTAGATCCCCTCGGCAGGCCATCGCCTCTGGGAGATCCCCTCGGCAGGCCATCGCCTCTTGGAGATCCCCTCGGCAGGCCATCGCCTCTGGGAGATCCCCTCGGCAGGCCATCGCCACTGGGAGATCCCCTCGGCAGGCCATCGCCTCTGGGAGATCCCCTCGACAGGCCATCGCCTCTGGGAGATCCCCTCGGCAGGCCATCGCCTCTGGGAGATCCCCTCGGCAGGCCATCGCCTCTGGGGGATCCTTTTTAAAATAAAGATTATTATACGTAGCCCGTGGTGAATAATGGCGGTGCATAAAATTCACGGTTCGCGTGAGACTCGGCTGGAGCCTGGAAGCCGAGTTTTTCGCATCTGTAGGAACCCCGCCACCCTTCAAGGATCAAGGCGCAGATGGAGCTCCTAAAGCGGTGGGCGCCAAATCGGCAGAATATGCCACTGTGTCTGGTATACATAGACAATGTCATATCCAGTGTGCATCATGTGCATGTAATGTCTCAACGTTGATGCATGTCTGGTACACTGCATAATGGGCAACGAAGAAGAGCAGAATTCGATGAATTTTCCCGCCATAGGCTACGTATGGTTCTTCTACATGCTGGCAACTGAAATCCGATCCCTTAGCGATGCGTTCGCATTCTAGCGGTCTCTATTTGGTAGTTTTACTATCACGTGTTGGGCCTTTGCGATGTGAGCGCACCGCTTAAGGGTCGGATTTCAGTTGCCAGCGCAGTAGTTTCACTGCCTTTCTAGAAGAATCTGCCAATGTTCAAGCATTCTCCGCCAAGGGCTACACATCAAGGGTAAGGGCCTTTCTTCTCTCCCCCTCCCCCCCCCCCCCCCCACCTCTCTAGCCCTTGACAGATTCCGCTCGAACAGAAGTGAACTTGGCAGATCCATGCAAACCTTATGGCGGGTACTTCCTTGAATGCTGCTCCGTTTCTTTATCCACGTCCCAACCATGCATGAATCATACCAGAAAGGGTACCAACTACCAAGTTCTGACAATTGTCCTGCAAGCATTATCGGCCAATGGCTACCCTTCGCTCCATCTCTTCACCCCCCTCCCTTTGCTCACTTCTCTCACCACACATACCCACTCCCGTCGAACTCCTGAAAGGCCAATCGCTTGGACATTGTAGGAAACACGGAAACAGCGAGTCTATTCCATAGGACTAGGAGAATCAATCAACCGCAGTGTGAACTAGACCAACCCATTGTGCCTGCCTCTTCAACGTCTCTCTGCATGCATACATGTACATGTGTGTGTGTCGTACCGGTCACAGCGATGGACATCTGAACCCGGCCGTGTTACTCGGTGTATGGCTGGCAGGCGAGATGAGTCTGGTGCGGTTGGCGCTCTACACCATGTGCCAGTACATCGGTGGCTTAGTTGGAGCGGCATTGGCACTGGTAAGTAGAGATGACTTATAGGCATTGGCACTGGTAAGTAGAGATGACGTATAACCACAGTCACAGGTACAGGTATGCATTTAAAAATGTTCTCAAAGTGCGACGACTCCACTGTAGATGGGCCTTGCCTTGCCCGAAATTTCTAAACAATGATCTCTTTACCCTGGTTTGAGTCCTGGTGGTGACAGTCAATACTTTCTTCAGAGTATTCCCGTTTGCATGTTTCCCTCAAAACCAATGAATTATTTCTTTTTTATTTTGTCTTCCAGTGATATAATACTGGTGCAGCGCAGAGACTGTTCGGAGAGTGTTTGATTCTGTACATGTACGTGTATGGCTTACCAGTGAATGCTAGTCTTGGTCATACATGTATGCTAGTCTTGGTCATACATGTATGCTAGTCTTGGTCATACATGTATGCTAGTCTTGGTCATACATGTATGCTAGTCTTGGTCATACATGTATGCTAGTCTTGGTCATACATGTATGCTAGTCTTGGTCATACATGTATGCTAGTCTTGGTCATACATGTATGCTAGTCTTGGTCATACATGTATGCTAGTCTTGGTCATACATGTATGCTAGTCTTGGTCATACATGTATGCTAGTCTTGGTCATACATGTATGCTAGTCTTGGTCATACATGTATGCTAGTCTTGGTCATACATGTATGCTGTCTGATGTCTGATGTATGCTGAGTGTTTCACACGAAACTCCGGGTTACCAGTATGAATGTGGGAATTGATCCATTGCACAAAAGACAAGCACAGCATACCGGTATCACCACTAGCAAGTGTAAAAGCTCTCATTTTACTATTGCCACTAGACATACATGTACGTGTACGTGTATATGTAGCAGGGTTCTAACCAGGTAAAAATAGTAGGGGGGGGGGGGGCGGCGGCGGTGGGCATGGGAAACAGTTACCCAGTACAGTGTATCCCATTTTTCAACTTTCCAATATTGTCTTACCACTAGGCATTTCCCAAATCGGCCGGCCGAAAAATTCGCCGAAAACAGTGGTTTTGAAGAAATCACCAATCATTTCGCCGAATATGCAATTCTCGCACTGAATTCGCCGAAAATCAATGTTTTGGTGCCTCTACCGGCTACCGCATGCAAATACAATCTCAGTCACCATTATACTGCGAAAAGTGTGACTTTAGGCATTTCCGAAATCGGTCAGCAGGAAGACGCCGAAATCAATGGCTGTCAAGAACCCCTGCTGTTTATTATTCTTTTATTCCACGATGAGATACATGTATTTGCGCCGAATTCGCCGAAAATCGATGTTTCAGTGCCTCTACTTGTACATGTACAGTACAATCATGTACATGTACAATTATCATGCATGTAAATGTACACTGTATGATATTATGTACATGTACATGTATAGTGCGAGCGGCGACTTCAAGTACTGCTTCGAGCCGAATTCTGACTTTGGGGCTCATAATATGGCCGAATTTGGACATTCACCCAGCCGATCGAAAAGCAGATTAGGCAAAAAATCCCCGATTTGGGAAATGCCAACTTACCACGCTAAATGCAACGTACATGTACATGTCTTCACTTTCTTTGCCCGCTGCTACCACTAGATATGGCATGTTCTCTATTTCTTTCCTTGGCGCTGATAGGTGGAATTCTCTGCCTGTCTCGTGTCGTCAGGTTGAGCATCTATCCGTTTTTGTTTCGCTCTGTAAAGAGCACTTAGGGTTCCCTGTAACAAGACGGCAACGTCTGTAGGGCCTTCCCTATCAAAATAATAAATTCTACTACTACTACTACTACTACTACTACTACTACTACTACTACTACTACTACTACTACTTCATGTATGTGGCGAATCCCCGACTTCGCCCCAGACAAATGTGCCTTTATGAACCATCTAATGGTGACGCTATCGCTATGGTTTGACTTTCGGCTGCATTTTCGTTGAGTTGCATGAAACCACGAAAATCGGAAAATGAGTAGGGGGGGGGGGGCACTTTTTCACAGGGGGCCGCTCAAACAGAGTGGGGGGGGGGCGCTGAGCCCCTCCCCCTTTGGCTAGAACCCTGAATGCAGACTGTGGTTTTTACATAGTTCAAGTATATTTTTATACCACCCTCTCCTGGCATACATGTATATACCGGCATGGTCGGCACCCGATCTTCATGTTGCCTGATGATTGCGTGAGCATGAAACTTTTAAAAGTAGCAGCAAACCTGCCTTGATTGTCTTTGTTGTTCTGTCACGTGTATTACGCTCTGCCTTTGTGGTGTTGAGCACTGCCAGCACTCCGGGTACATCCTCCGATACTTCAAGTATCTACATACTCTTTGGCTTATTTTCCGGATCTATCGCTCTGGACAGAAAATGGACTAATGTCTCCCAGCTGCATGCGATTTCAAATACATTTTCAACTACGACGACGGCGACGAAGACAACAACAGCAACAAAAACAACAACTTATTGGCGATTGTGCCATCGTGAGAATAAAGAATTTAAAAAAACCGCAACAGCAACAACAAGAACAACAACCAATCTCTTTCGGCCACTGGCTATCGTGAGAATAAAGATTTCAAACTAGCGTGAGAATAATGATTTCAAGACAACAACAACAATACCAACAATCCAAACCCTCCTTGTGAGCCTATGAATGTTTGCCGCAGCATTGCCGCAGCATTGACGCAGCATTGCCGCAGCATTGCCGCAGCATTGCCGCAGCGTTGCCGCAGCGTTGCCGCAGCGTTGCCGCAGCGTTGCCGCAGCGTTGCCGCAGCGTTGCCGCAGCGTTGCCGCAGCGTTGCCGCAGCAATGCCGCAGCATTGCCGCAGCATTGCCGTAGCAAGTGTTATTACGTTATCCGCTTGTGTCTTAATTCTTTGTTGTGCTTCCCGCGATTACTGTGCCCGTGTGTGCATGTACATGTATGTCCAGGGTTTGTACACAGACATCTCTTCATTGGACAATGATGATTACGTCATCCAGCCGTTGTACCGCTATGGTACATACAGCCCCAACACAAAGGACGGGGTGAACCAGGGCCAAGCGTTCGGTGCAGAGCTGCTTGGCACGTTCATGCTGGTCTGTGTCTACCTGTCGTGCACAGCGGAGAGGCGAGGCTACCGTGGCATTGCCCCGCTTTGCATCGCGTTTACTCTCCAAGCCGGAAAAGCAGCGTGGTAAGAAGGAAAATCCTAGCCGTGGTTGGCTATAAAACCCTGCACTCGCCACGCAAAGTGATCATTGGCTACCCCAGCCATGTATTGCTTGGAATACAACTAATGGACTCGGATGGAGAGCCAAGGATAAATTTATAGAAGAGAAAAAGGACCAAGGAACAGTGTCGTGCAATGTTATCGCATGAGCTGATTGTTGAGTAACGGGTGGTGTTAGTGGACGTTATAGCGTAACTTGTAGTTCCTTGGTCCTTTTCTTTTCTATAAAAAAATAATAAACTAATAGTCCGGGCGGTCCGGGACCAGGCACTGGCCATGACTTGGAAATACCCGTAGCATAGGTGTAGGTATATGTATATGAAGTGAGGCTGGTCATGACTCATGAGGCCCTGTGGCCTATCGCCTTTGCCCCACCGACCAGACACGTGCAAGCAATCCGATCGAGCCAATCCAATCGAGTGGGACTTCTTACTTCTGCAAACGTATTGAGACTATTTTGGCTCGGACGTGAAAATGGGGTGCAATTTTTAATCAGGGAAACACTGTACAGTGTACATGTGTATCATTTGAAGCCAATGCTGACTGGCTACATGTATCCTAGTAGTTCATAAGAGAGAAAGTTTGGAAGCTTTGTTACAACTCTGAGTTTCACGTATTACTACGATCATCAGGCAACATAGAAATGTATGCAATATTCACATCTGTAAATGCCAATTGATCTAAACAATACACACACTCCCTTGTTGTTGTTGTTGTTGTTGTTGTTGTTGTTGTTGTTGTTGTTGTTGTTGTTGTTGTTGTGTTTATTTTAATTCGCAAACCAAACGGGCAGATCTGCCCAATGAAAGGGTGGCAAATGCAGATAGAAAGCAGTAATAAATGATTTTGGGAGGGATGTAATAAGGATAGAGGTGGAGAAAAACTAAGCCAGCTGATCATCAAACAGGACCTTACCTCGGCTTAACTGCATATATTCATTGCTTATCACAAACCCTATATGACAAGCTTCTTACTGCCAGCCGCGTAGCATTAAAGAGAATATTTTCGTTGGATAGAATGACTCCCACCACTCTTCTATACAGTCATACTAACTTGTACGCCCTTGAGAAACGCCTCAACTTCAAAACCTATGTATTTGTTTACCGCTGCCTGAATGGACTTGCTAGTCCTCTTCTGCGAGACCGCTTTACCTTGCGCGCCCATGGTGCTCGCACTGCAGCCACCACCCGTGGCCAAGTCTCTGCTGCTCTTGTTCTGCCCCCCGCTAACACCCGATATGGCTTTAGTGCAATTTCTTATTTGGGCGCTGCCAGGTGGAATACACTTCCACCGGCTTGCCGCATGTCTAGTTCACCAGCTGAATTTCGCTCATCCATCAAATTATACCTAGGGTTCCCTGTAAAAAGGCGCTGACGCCTGTTGGGAATTCCCTAGTAAAAGAAGAATAAATAATAATAATAATAATATAATAATAATAATAGCTCAGCACTATTTTCTGGTTAGCGTCAACGTTTATTTTTTATGATGAAAAAAGGAAAAGGACAAAAATTAATGATGATTGTTACAAGTTATGACAAACTGTCCACCAACGTAACCAGATCTTATACAGTCAGCGAGTGCGACAAAATGGCACAAAACTGACAAGGAGTACTGAGACATTCGGCGACCTGACACCTAGCTCCAACACTTCTCCAATGCGCAAACCAACAACCTTCCAACTTGGAAGGCTCAGGTTCGGAAAGGTCCAAGAGGGGAAGGAAAGCGCAACGAAGAAGAGCATGAGCTACGCGCCACGGCAAAAAAAGTCGTTAAGTACTACAGTAAACCGTAAACGATAAATATGCAAACAAATATGTACATGTACATGTACAGTCATTTGCCAGTTTTGACACATAACAGAATTCGTTAGAATTTCACCTCGCTAACCAACAAAAATGCTGAGATCGTGAACTTTAATTGACGTTAAAGTACATGTACTTGGTCTAACAGTATTATGCGTACATGAAAGGAAGAATGTGATACGTATATATTAATTGGAACCCTACTCAAATACAGAAAAATTCAATGATGCGAGCAGTACACTATAATGTCCATGCTGCTCTGTGTGTGCATGTGTTCACAGCATGCCTGTGTCGGGAGGGGCACTGAACCCAGCACGCAGTTTCGGACCCGCCATCGTCAGCCTGAGAGACTTGCTATCGAACGATCCTACTCCTAGTAAGGGCTGGCTGATTTGACTGGTGTACATGTGTTGGATTTTACCTCACCTACACGAGAATGAATGTCTTCGTGTGTTCCTCAACACGTCAGGTGATGCGGCCGCGAATCCGGCTAACTCTACATTTTTTACACCAGAATGAAGGTTCGATTACCAGGCATTTCACTGCATGAAATACACTACATTGTGCATTGTACATTATGCAGTGGTAGCAAAGGGGTTATGTACTCTTGGTGGTAGTCTTCTCTCACCTACTACATGTATGTCACAGATCCCGTTTAATGCGAAGTAAAAATAAAGAATACGTACATTGAGAGGAATGGGTGTGCTCCCCATGCACACTGGAGCTCGCGCTATTCCGCCGACTTGACTTGACACTTGACTGACTCACGACTGCCATCCAGAGCACACAAGAAGTCCATCGAACCTTCGACTCGACAAACCTCAGTGCAAGAAAGCAGCACTCCCTGCTCAATACACAGTGTTTCAGGTAATTCACCCCTCATCAGTTTAGCTTGAGTAGGCTGAGGAAGATTGTGCCTGAAGAGCATCACTCATTATAGTGCTCTCCAGGCACAAACATCACCAGGGAAACAAACTTACAGAGACGGTCCGTTTCCAGCGGGACAAACACCTCGTGAACACCAGATAGCAGCGTGAGTCAGTGTCGCTCCTGGATGGTGAGAACAGATGTCGAGGACTCTTGGTCATTCACAACCGTGTGTGCTCCAGTGTGAGGAGCAAATCCATTCCTATCAAATCATCGCCGAAGTCGCTACCACTATTTCGTACATACATGGAGTACAGGGATAATGCCTAGGCTAGGTGCAGTCCACTGGTATGACTGACGGTGTTCGCACTGTATGATAATGATGCACAACATGTAACAGTACAAGAGAGGATGCTGAGTTACTAAGTTGCTTCACCTGAAGCATGCACGCAGGGATAACCAGCTGCTGCATTTTACTGATGTCTGCTTATCTCCTTCCCTTGGACGGAGATGGTTCACGAAATTGTGGATAATGTCTGTGCTTGTGTGCGTGTGCACATGCGCGCGCGTGTGTGTGTGTGTGTGTGTGTGCATGTGTGTGCGTGTGCGCGTGCATGTATGCGCATGTGCGTGCGTGTGTGTATGTACTTCCGTGTGTGCATATCATATCTTGCGTGGTTGTGTAAACATGCAACGGTGCTGTTCAGCAAGTCCATATCTGCCGCCAGCCGTGACCAACGATGCCTATTACCATGCCATGTGGAAAGCCCAGTGGTTGTACATACTGGGACCGAAGCTTGGTGCAGTCCTTGCCGCCATTGCATTCCGATTCCTCTTCAGCACGGAGAAGCGCAACAAGGTGTACGTCAAGTGAACTGACGAGCCAAGTGTGCAGTGAAAATGAGAGTTCTGATGTGCTCACTTCATGCTCACCGTGTGCTTGAAGTTACGACATTCGTCTTTAGCTGTTGTCGCTGTCACGTCATCTTTCCTGTAGTAGTTAGCACTTACACACGACACAGTAGAAAGTAGTCTTTCTTTTCTTCTTTATCGGAAACTAGTCGGTAGTCCAAAGTGGGTCAAAATGGACAAAATGCATTTTGACCCCCAAAATGCAAAAATATGCAAACACATAATCCGGAAAGGCCTATTCTGCGCGCGGCTAGGCTGCTACAGTAAGATCGGGCGCCGAAGAACGCAGGGGCTCGAGCGCAGCCTAGGAAAGTTCTTAAATTTTTGATTCTAGCCAGACCGTTCTTATTCACACGCGCGCGGCGAGTCGAGTGACGTCATGACGTTTGTCATGTACATGTAGTGCAATGTAGTACTTCTAAACTAGTACTTGAGTACTAGTAGTGGGTGTCGTAAATGGGAATGACTGTACATGTAGCAGTTACTGTTTACACGTGTACATGACATGTACTCACCCATACATGTACAATCATGTAGATCTACGTGTAAATTTTTAAAAGTGTTCTTAAATCTGATAATTCTAGCCTGGACTGTTCTTAAATTTTGCCGGTTTTCCAGCCTGGGTGTTCTTCGGCGAGGTGTTCTTCGGCGCCCGATCTTACTGTACTGCTACTCGTACTGATCGTGTACGTGTCTGCTACCACCTACACTGTACTGTTCGCGTGCTCAGCACGTGGTGGTGGCTACACGATTCGCACGCTTCGCGTGCTCAGTGCTTCTGTGGCTGCTTCCGCGGCCGCTAGCTACACGATTCGCACGCTTCGCGTGCTCATATCAGTGCTTCTGCGGGCGCTAGCTACACTGTGCTACACTGAGTACTGTTCGCACGATTCGCGTGCTCAGGGCAGCGCTGCTCCGCATCGCTTCAGCGTGACACAAAAACACACGTCACAGGTGCCTCTTCTTTATAAGGAGCGTGACACACACACACACACACACACAGACACACGTCACAGGTGCCTCTCTTTTATAAGTAAAGATTGGGTGTTTCTCGCATACATACCTCCTTTTGCTGTTACTTTATGCCCTCTTTTCGATGGTTGCCGCGTCGCTAATTTGGATTGGAATGAACACGATTCGCCTACTTGTAGAATGTACTGAAGTAGCCAGTGCAGGCTGTGTCAGCATCACATGTGATCATGTTACATATACAATGTTTCCATCAACAGCGCTCCTCTTCTCTCCATGACACTTGCATATTTGCTTTTTCCCACCGTTTTGTTCTAAAGATATACACAACCATAGGAAGTACAAGTACACAAGAGAGAGATTGGAAGCTTTGTTACAACTCTGAGTACAAGTACATGTAGGTTAATAAGTCCTCTCTGCGCACAAAGTGCTCAATACCTGGAAGAGCAGAGTTTCCTCGCAAGTAAGGTGGAACAGAATTTTATTGCAACTCAGAGTATCACGCTTGCGCAATCATCAGGCAATGGTATTCTGGTACGAAACGGAAAAACAGGTATTGTTATACGCATAGGAAAATAAGTGAAGAATTGGATTGGATTGGCTTATTTAATGTCGAATAACAAACAGGCAGTGTTGCCTTATTACATGAGATCGACTAAAGGCACACAAATATAAGGAAAAAGGAAAATCAGCTAAGCATCAGGTCGTTGAATGTCATGATCTCATCAGTCTGTTTTGTGCTAATTGTTGCACATTTCTGACTCCACAGTATTCTGCTTATAACCGTTAGTGTTGGGACAAAACGGATAACTTGTAAACTTTCGGTCCTCTCTTTTTTAAAATTTTAATCCTTGACTCTCCATCCGAGTTGAAAAAGGAAAAGATTAAAAGAAAAATAGAGTAGGGTTTAAGACAGCAGAGGAAAGATTACCTAATCATTGGGCGAGGAATGCAGTGGGACTTCATGCCGAATGCTTCCTTGCTTAGCACGTCGTCTTGTTCCTTGCCTTTCAAAAAGAAAAAAATGCCCTCCATCTCATCCTTTTGATAACTTTCTCTTTCAATTCGTTCAGCCGGGTTAGGTAGGGGTCATGTCAGTCTGCAGATGAGAGCGGAATATTCTTTAATTGACCTCAGTCCTGTAATCCAAATCGACCCGTTGCCGGCGTTCCATCTTGCGGTGAACAGTTGGGGGAAAGTGCTCTACCTAAGTCCTTAGAGGGGGGAGTGCTCTACCTCAGAGGGGGGAGTGCTCTACCTTAGAGGGGGAGTGCTCTACAAAGTACATGTGCATGCAGGGTAAATCCATGCTCGAACATCTGGTGAAAAGTTGATGACGTGTGCAGCATAGCCCTTTGGCCTCTTTCCCAAAGATGCTCGCCACTTTATCATTATTATTATTAGACACAATCTCATAGCATGTGACAAGCATAGCTAATGCAGGGACAGAATACCCTGAGACAAGGGCGTTGAGCCAGCCACGGCAATAGTAAGCTAAGAAAGCAAAGCAAATATGAATTTTTTCCGCAACTTTAGGTTGTTGTTTCAACCATGGGCCCATAGGCCTATGGGCTATGGCATGGGGGTCGAAAGGTCAAGTCACAGACTACATCGGACAAATGCTCTCTCGCTCATTTCTCGCTTGCCTTCGGAGTACGAGTTCTCATTCCATGATCCAGATCAACGGAAGTTCTGTTACGCTCGTTGCTTTTTGCGTGCGCTGAAATGATCCGGAGCATGCATTCAACAGGCTACTTGCACTGTGTGAAGTTGTGGCCGTTCACAGCATGAAGGGGTATAGAGTTTACTGTCGCTGCACTTCTGCTAGTCCCACTCTTTTTTGGTGGCTTGTAGTTTTGACCAGGGAGTAGCAGTACAATAGGGAGGTATTGTACTGCTACTCCCTGGTTTTGATAGCATTGCATCTACAAGAAATCTCTCATTTTAAGTTGCGATGTTAGCCACTTTTGAGCTCCTTATGAAAATATGTGTGCGATTTCAGCGACTTCCACTTGTTTTGGCACGGTTGCGAAAAGGATAAGTTGCGAAACATTATGGCATCTTTGGGAAAAGTCAACTGCTTACCCCGCTATCGGGAAACTCTAACATGTTGATGTCACACAAAGAGCATCCCACTGTCACTGCCACTACCAGACACTAGGCATATGCGGATAATGCCGGCAGAAAAATTGGCAGAATTCGGTACTTTTTCTGGTAAGTTTCATGCATGTTTGGTATGTGGATTAAGAAATGGAGCAGAATTCGAGGAATTGCCCGCCATAAGGTTTGTATGGTTCTGCCATTTTCACTGCTTTTCGAGCAGAATCTGCCACCTTTTCGAGCATTATCCGCACACCCCTACCAGACACTATCACTGCCACTACCAGACACGTTTACGATAATATAGAGGTTTTTTAAAAAGATGCACGTTACTACTGACGTGACGCGAAAGCTCAGCTCGCGTTATTTGGCTCGCGCGCTCGTCGAAAAAAACAACGCGGGTGACCTGCAGCTCACGTCGAAATTTGGAGTTTTACGTCAAATTTGACGTGAAATTGCGCGTCACGTCGGAAATAACGTGCATCTTAATCTCTATTACGAGACTCGTACTCTTGTGATTACTTTACGGTAGTTGTCAACTATCCTCTCCGCCATAGCTGCTGCCTATGGGCCATAGTCTCCCCCCTTTCCTCAAGTTTTCAGATATAATCACATTGTTCATGTTGCTCCCTGGCGTGTCTAATCCGTCGTCCTCAAACTCTATGATTGCGCCGGTCCACGGCAACGGATCATGATACGTACATGTACATGTACACGTATCTCACCAAGAATACATAACCCCTTATCAAGGCGTATGCACTCTTGATCTCATGAATCTCTCTACCATAATGTGCGTAATTTCACCCATTTTTTATCGGATGGGCGACAGGGAATAGATCTTGAAGACTTGAACTCAGCTTTGGCCTTCTCCACTTCCTTTCTTCTACTTCTTCTTCCTTTTTCCTCAGTTCTGGATTCATTCCAATTCTTCCTTACTTGAAGAGGTTCGGTTATCAGTGCACTAGTGGTTACCAAGAGTACTCTGGCATGTACTTGTATATTACATTGTAGTTGACACCGCGGTACCGGTACGCACCAGCAATAACATACCGTATATTCTCTATTAATAGTATTATAAGCGCTGAGCTTATATTTTTTCACCACACCTCTAGAGACCTACTAGAGACCGCGCTTATATCGGAGACTGTGTGCTTGTATTTTTTCAATCAGTATCCAACTCCATACAGAGCAAGGAGAACTACATTCTAGATATAGATATCATGCAGTCAACACTAAATTCCACCAAGACCGTGCTAAATAATAGAGACTGTCCTTAAAATGTTTCGAAAGGTGCTCGCAGGAAAGTCTACACACATCCAGCCTTTTCTTTTAGGCTGTGTTTACATGAGAAATTTCAACCCGGGTCGAGTTCAGCCCGGGTCGAGTTCAGCCCGGGTCGAGTTCAGCCCGGGTCGAGTTCAGCCCGGGTTGAAAGTCTGTACAGGTAGACTCCCTTTAATTCGAACCTCAAATTGCCAGGCCCTAACTTCGAATTATCCGGAACTTCTAATTATCCAAATGCAGCCCCATGCACTGATATGTATGTCAAAATGCTTGAAATCGCATGCTGAATATTTTTGCACATTATTTTTTATTTGCATCAACGAAACATAGGTGGTCGTACCGGTCATGTACAACGGATACGCGTAACAGCAGTGGGATCATCAAAACACTGGATCGACACGAAATCATTTTGACATTATTATCTTCATCTTCTACTTCTAGTGAAGAAGTTGTCAGCCACTGCAGCTTTCCTGAAACAATTTCAACGGAAAAGAACTGCGCCGCCTAATTCGCGTTATGAAAGGCTGTCGGACAGCAGCATGTCGTTCTGAAGAACGGAAGTGAAGCATAGGCATAGACAATATTTACGACAATAGTGTACTGTAAACAGCTCTTCTGTACGAAGACTGGGTTCGAATTATCCAACCGGCGCACTTTTCGTACTTCGAATTATGCATTCGATTTTGACTTGAAGGCAGCGTACACTACTTTTGTTCGTGCTCTCTCATGCCGCTGGACATTCTTGTGTCGTGTTCTGCCGGATGCGTCCAGTGGTCTTGATCAGTTGGAACACGCCATTGTTACCAAGCTGCTGCCAGCCCTGACTGGAGAAGAAGTCAGCCTGGAGCTGCGACGGCTGTTTGCCTTCCCTTGCCGGGATGGTGGCCTGGGTATCGTCAATCC